TGCTAACCAGAAGGCTGGTGGTTCAAACCCATCAGCCACTCCTCGGAAGGAAGGTTGGGCAATCTACTTCCATAGAGATACTGCCTCAGAAACCCAAGGAAAGGTTGCTATGAGTTGAATCGACTCAATAGCAATGAGTTGTTATTTATTTATTTATTTATTTTTAAATATATGTGCATACATATTGCACATCTATCTATATCTATTTCTGTACCTATCTATAGGTATAATTTGAGTCTAACAGCCTAGACAAACTAAAATTAGATCAAATAGCAATTGAAAAAGTCAGGGATTATTGAGGGAGCCTCTAATTGTATCTGTATCCTTTCTTGTTGCTATACCTAGCTATTTTAATAAAAATAGAGTGGGTAATCTCAATAGTCTAACTCAGTTAACCAGAACTTCAGAAGTGTAGACATACAAATCAGAAAGTTACAATTTAAGAATTTTGTGTCTGATCCAGGGAATTAGATACTCATAGCAGATAAATATTTTAAAGAAAATAAACAATCCTGTTTCTAGTTAGTTGTGAGTTTTGTTTTGTAATCAATGCTACCTCTGAAGATCAGGAAGGAGAGGCTGCTATACCAGATACTCTGACTTAGCTTAACATTCATTCATTCATTCATTCATTTAACACAAATTTTTGAGCACCTAGGTAATGATGACTATGTTTTTTGTTCAAAACCTGTTTATATCTGAACTTTATCTACTTTGTCTTGTTGTTTTTAGTTGCCAGTGAATTGATTCTAACTCAAAGGACCCCATGTGACAAAGTAGGAGCCCACCTATTTTCTGTGGATCGGTATTATAAGTCCTTTATTCCAACTTACCTGAGAGCAGAGATGTTGAAAGTATAAAATATAGCATAGGTTCAAAACCTGACCCTGTTATATTCAAGCACTCTCTTAGGATTGCTATGAGGATTTACTAAGAAAATATACATAATTGCTTAGCTCACAGTACCTAGCACATTGAGAGCAGCATCCTGGTGAATGCTCTGACTAGAGGCTGTTTGCTGGTACAGACTGCAGACCCAGAGATAACCTGCCACCTGGGATCAAATCATGGTTCTATCCCAATTTCTGTGATCCTAAGCAAATTGCTTATACTCTTTATGACTCAATTTCTGACTCTTTAAAATGGAGATAAGAGTGACTCAAGAGTTTGTTATGAGGATTAAATAGGTTAAAGCATGTAAGAATGCTTAGAACTCTTCCAGGAGCAATAAAAAAAAAATGCTAGATATTATTACTAGACTCCAAATGCCATGAGTGTTTTCATAGCTGAAACTTTTCAACATTAAACCTCTCTGTCTCTTCAAAAATGCCATCAGTAAAATCCCAAGCTTCCTTCAAGATTTAATTTTCTTCTAGGTCCTCTATGTAATCTCTCTGACTTAAGTGGACCTTTGAATTACGTAACATCTTTGATGTCAGTTATCCATCACTGCTGTTAACAGTTTAAGTAGGGTTTTAGATAAGTATTCTATACTTATCCATGTTAAAAAAAAAAAAAAAAAGAGAAACCTTGATTTTATAAATGACAGATTACCAATAGATTTTTTTCTTTACTGCTGTCTAATTTATTGCCAATAATACAATAATGTAAATTTGGACATAATTTTAGAAGACTCTCATATTTGTAAATTCCTGAAAATTTCTCTTCTAATGTGATGAATGTACTTTTCTCACTTAAAGAAAAACATGATGGGACAATTTGATTTCTCTTGGAAAGATATACATGAGTTCATGTGATATCATTTGATAAGTATTATTATGAAACAGATTCACAAACACCATAGTAGAAAGTCAAACACACAAAAGTATCAAATCTGAATTAGAGAAAACAAACTAATAATAATATTAAAGAAAAAAATTAGGTAAGGCAGTGGAATAGGCAGAAAGACTGCACAGACCCTCCTCAACAAAGAAAAAGGGAACCAATTAATACAGATACAGAAGATAATCCTGGAGCCCTGAGCTCTGAATAGAAGGATCTAGAAGTAGATTAAACTCCAACTAGTAGAAAAATTTGCATGAAAACACCAAAACAATGAGACATACAGAGCTGCAGTCTAGCAGCGATCCTGATGGCACAGACAGCTTGGATATTGCCAAGTGGTGTTAGGACCTAAGAATTAACCTAAAATTCAGCCCTGTTAGCCAGAGGCTGCACAAAGGACTGTACTGGTGGCTGGTGAATAAAAGGGGAAGCAGCAAAGAGGAAGGTGGCTGAGTTGTGGACTTTTGCCTGTCTGGAGGGTGCAGCCATTTTGAATGTTTACAAGTGGTTTGACCATTTTGGATACTTAAAGTGACAGCATTCTCCCAGATTCCAGGGACTTAAGAACAGGCTACACTTGCAGGGAACCACAAATACATTCAGGATGCCAATGACTGAAAAGGTGTGATATTTCCCTTGTTATTCTTATACCCCACACCCACTTGGTGAATAGGGGTGCAGCCATCCCTCACTCCCACCCACCTTTTGGGCTGGCAGGAATTCCATCCCAGTCTGGGTGCTCTGACAGAGCCTGGGTGCAATGTCCTGCCCTGCCCAGATTTTTTTTTTTTTTTTTAGTTTTCGTTTGTCTGTTTTAAAATTATTATTACTATTATTTATTCTTCCCTTCCCAGGTTCTAGTTTTCAGCTTTTTCTCTTTTCCCTGTTCCTGGTTCCAATTTTTTTTTCTTTCTCATAGTTAACCCTGTTCCTTGTTTTTCTTTTTACATTTTTCCCATTTTTTTCTTCATGATTCTCCTATTCTACATTTTTTCTCTTATTGCCCTCTCCCTAGACATTGGGTGTTTTCTTTTCTTTTCTTTTTCCTCTTAATGGTGATTGTTCCTTTATGTTTATGTGGTGTGTTTTTTGTCTGCTTCCTTTTACTTTTTGATGGTTTTTCAATTGTTGTTTTAGTTCAACTGAGTGAGAGACAGCAACTGTGCCCATACAACACAACCATAGCTCCACTTACGGAATGAGAATCACCACTTCCTTCTCCACCAACTGGACAATTGGGCAATGATAAATAACTACCAAAAAGAGCCTGAATCATCCTTGGCTGCTCTTCATGAGCAGTTAACAGAGATCTAAATACAGCGATGTCACAATGGCTTGGAGACAACAGATCATCACAGTCCATAACAAAGAAGCAAGATAAAGGGTAGAAATAAGGAAGCAGGATGCAGACCCAGAAAACATCCCTGAGGAAGAAGCAGCATTAGAACTCCCTGATAAAGAATTCAAAAGAATTATATTTAGGTATCCTCAAAAGATTGAGAGACAGATCAAGAAAAACACCAAGAAAATTAAGGAAAACACAGACAAAACCCTAGAACAATTTCAGAAGAAAATACAAGAACAAAATGACAAGATAAATGAATAATTAGAAATGATTTAAAATCTACAGATAGAAACCCAGAAGATTAATGTTAAATTTTCAGAAATAGATAAAACATTGAAAGGGCAAAGGAGTAGAATTGAATCAATGGAAGATAGAATTAATGAGATTGAAGACAAATACCTGAATACTCCTT